GTTAAGTGGCAGAGGTCAACTGGAGGATCCCACTGTGTTGGCTTCTGTTGTTCTGCTTTGCTGTTGGTGATCAGACACTGTGCTGCAGGTGGCTTTGCTCTGGGTGAAATGTCATCTTTCTGTTGTTCACCATCAGTGATGTTCAACTGTTGTGCACTTACAGTATACGCTGTCTTTACTGATTCTAAGTGACCCAGGACTGTACGCTGATGTAGAGTGACATCATACTTATTGGTGTTGGACATTGGGATTGAGACAAATCCTGAGCTTTCCTTAGGAACTGTTATGAGACCCTCCTCACCGATGCTGACACCTTCTGGCAGCACCGAGTCCTCCAAAGGAACAAAAAGAAGGTCCTCTCCTCTGAACTGAGCTCCAGGATTAACTCTCACATGGATGATGGTGATTTGTCCAGCTGTTAATTTGATTTGACTTCTTCCTGTATGCACAAGACCCACATCAACCTGACTATCTGATGTCTGAATTAGTTTGACAATTGTCTGTGCAGTTTGGAAAGTTACAGCAAAGGCTCCACACACATTTTGGATGACTTCAGATTTCCTGTGTTTAAGTGTGTTATCTCCTAGAACTTCCTCTATGACATTGTAGCCAATTATTGGCTGTTGTGCCACACTGGAATCACTTGACACAAGTACTGGTACCAACAGGGGTTCTGCTGAGAGTGAGTCTTTACCGAGTCTAAATTCCACTTCCACCCAGCCCAGAAAAGGAATTTGTGTCTGATTGGCTGCAAGCCCAATAAGTGTATCCACCTCCAGTAGTTCATTCAGAGGTCTCACTCGCTGGTGTGGTAAGTGTAATTGTCTCCATTCTTCATTAATGAGACATGCCTGGGCACCAGTGTCCCATAATGCTTCTACTGGAGTGGCATCCAGCCAACAATGAACAAGGCATCTCTTACCTATGAGGCTCAGAAGTTTCTGTCTGCTCCGTGGATTCATGTAGTGAGTTGTTGGGGTAGATGAAAGTCCAGTATGGGAGCCTGTTTTGTTTGTGGTGGGACTGAGTGTTTTGTGTGGGGCTACTGAGGGTCCCGGCCCAGCAGCCCTTTCTAGTTTCCCTGCTGTCCCGTTCTGACGGCAGCCTCTGGCGAGGTGTCCTCCTTGACCACACTTGTAACAGTGAGTACACATCTCCCCTGACTGTGCTTCTCGACAGGCTGGGCAACCTCTGGGTCTGCTGTAGCTGTGTGTGGTGGCTCTCTCTAGCTGATGTCTTAGTAACACCCACTGTTTCCAACACCAATTTCTTTAGTTCTAACATTTCAGCCTTTAGTCCTTCAATGAGTTTAGTTGTTCCTGCTTCCTGTTCTGTGTTCTGACTTTCTTGGCCTCTCAGTACACCTTTGGTTATTATGGCGTCCCCTACCTCACCTCTGGTTACAACTTCTTCGATGTAAGTAGGTTGGAACTCATTTATGCATTCTTCAGCTCTGACTTCATTTATTTTGGGAACCTACTCACTGCGCCTTTTCTCAGTTTTTTTTTTGCCTTTCTTGTTCCAAGTTTGCAGCTTCACTCACCCGCTCAATTAGGACCTCATCTGATACTGCAGGATTAGTCAGGTACGGTTTTAGTTGGAATTTACTGCATCACTTAGCAGTCCAGTGTCTATGGAGCGCAGAAATTTTCTTTGTATCAGTTCTGGACTGAATTGTTCGCTTTCATCCTCTTCTTTTGATTTCCAGAGCATTTTCTTTCAGTTCTATAGCTCTAAATAGAAAATTCTGCCGATTCTTTTGGATCTTGTGAAATGTTCATCAGCTGATGAAGGAGGTCAGAGGAAGAGTCAACTTTAAAATGACTTCTTAGAATAATTTTCAGAGTGGACAAGGTCAGTCCTGTTTTGATTTCCAGCATGTGTCTCAGGTGGAGCCCTGGGCTTATGGCCCGTATGACTGCTTCCAGGATCTCCGTCTCTGAATATCCTTTCCTCTGCCCAGATTCCATTTGGTTGATCAGGCTCGTATATGACAGTTTATCCCTCTGACCAGCTTCTCCAATCTGCCCACAAATCCGAAACTCCCGCCTGAGGGTCACTTCTGGTATTTGAGGTGATGGAGCACGGTGTGGTTCAGTCTCCTCCATATGCGCCGTCTCAGTTTTTTTTTCTAAAACCCCAATTTCCTCCTCAATCCGCTGTCGGGCTTTGTTTTGTTCCTCTTGCAATTCCTTGTACTTGCCTTTTAGTAAATTTAATTCACCTTCGTTAGATTGAATCTGTTCTGGTGTTCTGGCACGTTCCAACGTCCAAGATTCCATGAAGGTGATTAAATTCTGGAGAAACTGTTGAAACGATTCCGGTTCTTCCTCATTCCCGATATCGTCCAGTGTCGACTCTGCTAGTCTGATGAGGGAACGCCGAGTTTGGCCAGTAAACCCTCCTGAAGGTTCATCACTCTTGAGGCGTTTACAAACTAAAATCAGTTCTGACTTCTCAAACGTCAGCAGCGTTCGGCTCACTTCGTCTTGAAGCTGCTCCATCGGTATTTCCTCCTCCGACTTCGGTTCGTCTCGTTTGGATTAGTTACTTTAAGTTGAAACTCCTCCTGGGTCTGGCTCGCCAAAAATGTAGCGGTGAAACAATCAGACGAGCTTCCGAGATTGATTCCGCAACATTTTAATTTAATATTTGGTACAAAGTAACTACGTGAGCGGTATCGCTACACAGCCGTTAGAAAAACAAGAGACACAGCACAGCACAACCGTTCCAGCCGCCGTCTCCTTGCAACGGCGGAGGGATATTCACCCCCCTCCGCAACCACGTCGAACAGTGACACAACTCGCAAATGCCACACAATAAAACCCAAAACAGTATTAATTTACAACTATTCCATGAAAATGGCTTGTGCGCCACACACACAAACATGACTGACAGTGCTGAGACCCGCCTCCTGGCTCTGAATGATTGTTTCTCTGGAAGAAAGCAGAGGAGCTTCATTTTTTTCATGCATTATCTGTCTCATATTCTCCTGTCACAATATAGTGACAGATATGTTTTTTAACAAAAAAAAAAAAACCAAACATTTTCATATGACCCAACTTTAATAACTCGTTATCACAGGTTAACTATTCTTAATATTAAATTAAAACTCGCTTGTTTAAGTTAGCTTGTGGTGTTGACCTCTGCTTTATATTTTGAAGGCAATAGAGTTTCACAAGACTTATGCAACAAATCCCTCATTTCAATCAAATATTTGTAAACTAGCCAACAAACAAATAGAATCAATAAGTCAATACATGAAAGTCAATACATGAAATAAAATGAGCTATAACATTCAGACGTACTATGTCTCTTGGCGTGTTGTACAGCCTTGTAAGATCTGAGCATGGCAAATGGATGCTAGGACAGAGTGAGGGGGCATACAAAAAAAACATTTTGTACGGCAGTACAAAATGTTTGACCCCTGTGGTTCAAAAGAAAAAATAAGGACTGAGGATATTTTTTTTTTTACTAAATAAAAAATAAAGCTTTCTAATTTTCTATTTTGTATAAATGTTTAAGTAACATCAGTGTGAATGTAAAAATGATCCAGAACATATTTTGTATCTTGGACTGATGGCTAGGGAACAAAACAGCTGACTTACATCTGTACAGAGCCAGGCTTTTCTCCACTGGCAGTCGGCTCTGAAACGCACACAGTCCTCTCAACATGAACAATGACCTTTTGCTGCTGCTTGCAAACATTTATTTCTACTGTTTCTTTGCTGCCCACCAGCTTCACTGCACACTGCTGTGAATTCATGTTTCACAACTGATGGAATTTATTATAGACCGACCATGACAGATACAAAATTTATGTCAACAGTGACTGAAGGCAAACCTAAAAAGTTAGATCTTAACCATAAATCCTTATTCAGCACTGTACCAACAAAACAGTTTGTGAAAAGTCCCAAAGATCCAATTCAGTAAACTGTTTGGTTATATGGTTTAACATTTAATTCCTGATGCTTTGTTTCCTGTCACTGGTTTGATCCCTTACTGCTTATACACGAGTATGTTTGCAGCTTCTAGGCTATCAGATACGATGCAGTACAGTGACACATATATGCCTCTATGTGTCACTGTACTGCAATGAACCTTACTAAAGCAATAGGCATTCTCTCTAAGCAATTTTGGTCTTTCAGACTAAAATTCCCCTAAATGTATTTATATGTAACAGCTATGTACTAATACCAAGCTCACCTCAAAGGTCTTTAACCTATAATTTTCATGTATAAGCTGATCATCAGGCCCCACTTTGTCACAATCAGTAAGTAGAACAAAAGGGTCAATTAAATATTTTTAAGTCTGTAGAAGATTATTTAAATTTGCAAGCAGATGGTCACATCAATCACCCTGACGGGTCATTCTGTTAATGTGTCTTATAAGTTAATAAATCCTATACTTGTTTGATGGCAGTTTCATTTGATGTTTACTCAAAGTAGCATGTAAGGTGCAAATATATTTTGGCTAAGAAAAACTTTTAATTATACAAACTTACTTACCATAAGATGAGAGAATCATTGCTTCTCGCCATATGCGATTTGGATGCTAAGGACTTCCTAAGCTACATATGGCTCCACTGTGGTGGGAAGGGAAGGAGATGTTGTGTTTAAAAACTCAAATATATTCAGAGGCGACTTTTGCCTGAATTCTCCTGTCCTCACCAATAACAGCCAATGATCACCATTTTAAAAATAGTAAAGTATTGTTTAATTAGTACAACATTTTATTTATTTTCCTTTCATTTTACTCCCTCAATAATAAATATGAATAGCTCATGTAATAACTAAAAAAAAACATGGATGAAAGACGCAGAAATAAGTATGAACATACATCTCCCCTCATTCACATAAAAAGAAAATCAGCTCTTCAGCTCATAAGCCTATTCATTGCAAACATTAAGTCACTCATACTATCACTCATTCATATCACAAATGGTATATCAATCTGTTAGGCCACCCTGTTTTCCCTGGCTGCTGGGGAAAAAAGCCAGGGAAAATAATTTTGAAGGAATCCCTGAATAGAAAAAAAAAACTATACAAGCTTCAACAGATCTAATATGTTAAGATTTATACTCACAACACAAGCTGATGGACCAAAAAGTGGAGCTGGGAGATCTTCACTTAGCATGCTCACACAGCAAATCCTAAACATGGTTGGCTTAACTGAGACTTTATTCTGTGCAGCTGAACATCACAGGGAGTATCGGGTTATCAGCTTCCACTCAATTATTTACAGCTGGCCTCCCATCAGGAGCAAACAGCTGATACGTCCCCAATGACAATGATGTAAAAAATCTAAAGTCTTAACACCACAAATTTGAACAAATTCTGAACTAGCATTCTCTGTAGGAAACTAGAACACTGGATTTATCACAAGGAAAAAGTATTTGTTGTTGTCTGTCCACAGCCCACCCCACTGTTTTCTTCTACTCCTTCGTCTTCTTCGTCTTCTTCGTCTTCTTCGTCTTCTTCCTCCTGCCTTTAAACACCGGAGAACTCAGAAATGTGGTGTCTGTGAAATCATCTCCACGCCTAATTTTCCTGTTGGGGGAGGGGAAGAAAAACAGAAATTCAGCACTGTGTTCCATTTTCTCTCTCTCTTTTCTTTTTAAAGACAAACACAAGTCTGGATAATATGACCAATCATAACACTAGTTCTAGTAATGATAGGTTGGTTATAGCTAACTTATTGATACAAATAAAACCTAATTTCAGAAAACAAATTACAAAAATGTTCAAAATTCATCAAGTTAAAATTAATTAAACCAGGGTCAATTTAGCCAGATGATTTATCACTGCACTCTTAACTGGCACGGTTTAAAGCTCAGTTGTGAGAACGGTCCAGTCAAAGTCCTGACATGAAGCCAACTGGAATTTGCAGAGAGACCTGTCCAAAGAAGTATGTAGATCTGGGTTGAAGGGGCATTACAGAATATCTAGAATGTTTAACCAGACCTGTGGTCTGCTGAAGCAAAGTCAGAAACATAGACGGAGCTTTGAGTAACCAGCGTCACTGTAGCACTGGTCACATAGCCTGCGTTGCTCTCTGAGTTCCTTTCAGTGGGACCTGACGTTCTCACCTGTTCAGTGGTGGCTCCTTATAGGAGACCACACAGTTCTTTCTCCTGCTTCTTCCTTTATTTTCACCATATGGGTTTGGAAATGTGTTGGTAACAGTTGTTAGAGTTCTTCCTGCTGCAATGCACAGCAAAGCATTAGCTGTCAGCTAAACCAAAGTCAGACAAGGTTAGATTTTGTGTTTACAGTATTCCCTTATTGGGGTGAGTCTACCCAGAGTTCACAGGTAAACTCTGATACCCAAAGAACATCTATTGACAGTGGAGGAGACACCCACCTGGTGAGGCTCTAGTTGACCCCTCAGTCACCACCAGCCTGCATGATGGGCTCCTTTTTGGAGAGTTGGGTGCAGAATTGGATTCTGGGTCCAGAGTGCTGAGCTCTGCAAGCAGCGATGGTGGATCCACATCCATTATCAGAAAGCTGACATCCTGATGATCCATCTCATCATTAACAACCGATGTCCTTGTGTTATTGCTTTTGTCCTGACATGTCGGTCTGTGGATGACAAATGTCTTCCTTAGGTTCTTGGTTTCGGCTGCTGTGTGCAGCTTTGTCTTCCTTTGTAGTTTTGAAGCATTCCTGCCTTTGGAGTCTTTAGGATCAGGTGGATTTTCACCAATGTCATAATGATCATGGCTGAGGAGCATCTGAAAATCCTCTTTACCTTCCTTCCTGACCTTCAGACTGTAAGGGCTGCAGACAAGAAGCTCATCACGGCAGATGGGATGCAGACCAGATTCATCTTCAGATAAAACCTTTTTACTGCTTTTCCTTGTTTTTCTCTTTCGCCTGGAGTCGTAACCATCAGCATATTTCCCCAGTGACGATATCATCCTGTTCCTGGAACCTCCTGCTTCGTCTCGTCTGGATTTTTTAGATGTTGGGTTCTCTGAACGGTCACATTCATCTGCTGGCAGGACTTCCATGTTATGCTTTGATGTTTCCACCAGAGGGCGCTTTGAAGTGCTGTTGGTCTCTGTTTGCTGATTTGCCTGGAAATATCCAGAACTCTGAGACAGATCGTCTAGCAGCTCCTCAGCTGGGCAGTGGGGCTCTCCAGGAAGCATCATGTCACAATCCAGACCCAGCGAGTTACTGTTCCTAGAAAGAGAGATGACAAAAGTTTCTCTGCATCTCGGCCTGTTCTGCGTTTTCCTCCTGGCTGCAGGAGGCTGATTCTCCTCTGACCCGAGACCTGCCTCCTCCACTGGATGGAATATGTATTCATATGGTGGAGGTGGCTCTGTTTTTTCTGCTTCCTCTTCATCATGGACCTTCTCCGGTTTGGACTGTTGGCTCTCGTCATCATGAGGCAGACGGACTGACGAGGTCTTTTGAATGACCATAGAGCGCCTCCTTACTTTAGTTCTCGAACGTTTGTAGGTGATTTTAGAACTTGGTGAACCTTCTTCAGGTTCACTGCCCCCAGCCTTCAACAAGGTAACTTTAGAATTGGAAAAATAATTATTTAAATCTTGTGAGACAGTGTCACAGCTGTCAGTATCGCTCTTGGATGTCTTCTGGTGACTGGCAAGCTTGGGGATGCGAGATGCTTTCATATTGTTGCCGCGTTTTTTCGGTAACTGTACCTCAAGAACTCTTGAGTCTTTATCTTCTGGTTTATTTTTCTGAGTAGAAATTTTCACAGGTTCCTTATTTGGTCTGTGGTTGAAACCATTCTGGACATCTGGACTGGAACCCACCTGTTGACTCTCTGTGCCTTTTGTCTCACAGGAAGGACCTTTCTTCTTGGCTTTGGTTTCCACGGTGACAATTTCAACTGCGTTACTCAATGTAATCTCCATTGACGTATTGAGAAGCACTGTATTGTCAGTTCTTGCTAACTGAGACTCAACTTCTGAGGCTGACACACTTGGAGCGTTTACGTCACTAGAAAGGGATGTTGTGGAGTTTCCATGCGTTTGATTGTGCTGAGGACAGAGGACAGAGTTTATTTGAGAGCTGGACTGGGACAGGCGCTCCACTTCACTCCTGTCTGAGAGTGAAGTCTGAGTGGGTTGAACACGTTGACTGAAACGCCTTTCCTCTGCGTTTTCTGGGAAAAGACATTCATTTATAGTGAGGCAGTACATATTTGAAACACTGCACTGAATGATGCCAAATTACCCACCATGAAAAATATCAGAGGAGTTGCTGCATCTGGTTAGGGCACTTAAAACATCCAGATGAGGGTTTCCTTTGAGCAGACCTGGTGTAGCTTCTATGTTTTTGTTGTGACAGAAAAGATTCCTTAACATTTCAGGCCTCCTGTGTATAAGATAGAAATACAGAAAAATATAACTGTCAGATATCATTTACGTCCACTGAAACTACAACACCTACAAAGGACACAACAAAAGCAAACGCAGGAACTTCTGACCGCGCTGCTGCATCGTTCTCTTTGTTTTTATCTGTTGGGTAGTGGCAGCCCTCTGACAGTCTTGGAGAATCCTGAGGGAAAACACATTTTCAGCTTCAGCAGTTCAACCTATTGGTCTTCATTGAGGTTTTGTAGATTAGAAGTCAAGCTTTGGGTTCCACTGCAGGGGAAATAAATAGACTCCTCATTGGCATTCTTCCTTATATGGTACTGAATACATTGAGACCAAACATTTCAAGTCATACAGTTTAAAAGATAATTATCTTCAAAATAAATTTCTTCAAAACTTCTGTTTTTGAAGAAAGTTACAAAAAAAAAAAATCTTGGGAAAAAAAATAAAAAAAGTCAAACGCGGAAGTTAAATTTCTGTCTGTATTCGGTGTATGTAAAGTTGTTGTTTTCAACAATAGTGAAAAATGACAGGGATTTTTTTGTGCTTTTTCACAAATTTTTTTTTCTGAGTAGTTATAGACTATAAAATTTGTTCATTTTGACTTCAAAAAACTTAAAAACGTTTTACTTTTTTTTTACTATGACTAGAAAATAACAGAGGAAAAAGCGTAGTCGGGTGAAATGTGGACGATTAGCCTCCAGACACAGGCCAATCCATTCTGAGCATTTGGAAGCAACTTCAAGTTCCTGAGATCTACCTATGGACTTTGAGATGTATTTAGTCAGTGCCTCTCCTCAATGTAAGTGGAGGAAAATAATCTGAATTATTTCACCTCCACTTACATTGAGGTGAACAGACAATTGTGGAGTAAGTGTCAGTAAAAGAAAAGAAGATCTGAGTCTGGGAATTGGAATAAATCATAATAGTCACAACTTCAGTGTAAAAAAAACAAACAACCTTGCATGTCATGTACATCATGACGCAGTCAAAATCAGAGGATGTAAATTTGATTAAAGTCACATTTAAGCAAGAAAAACATAATCTTGTGGTAAAGAAATATAATCTGATTGGTGACTCGTCTCTTACGTCATCAGAAACTAGTTGTGCCATCATGTCCAGCTGCTGTAGAGTGTTATTATGGAGATTTTTCAAGATGAGCATCTGTAGGAGCAGAACAATAACAAGTAGTGAACCAGATAATGGTCAAACTAAACTCCACATCAGCTGATATATCACACTCACCAGTTTCCTTTGGTTGTGTTTCTTGGTAGCCAGCTGGAAGCAGAGATCTTTGACCTGTTTTTGCAGGAGCACCACCTCCATCTCAAGCTGCCTGCTCTTCTCCTTTTGGGCCTGCAGAGCGAGAGCCAGGGCCTTGTTGTTGGTCTTCAGGGAGACCTTGAAGAAGGAGGAGGTGTCTGGTGTGAAAGAAATACGGTGTTATCACTACTCAAAATCTGTGACAGCCGCAACACAAATGAGATGGAGACTAACCCAATTCAATTTCAATTTATTGATCGCAAAATAAATTAAATAATTAAACCTACTGATAATTTTGTTTTTGATCTTTGAAGCCACAGCTGACGTCTGCTTCGATGGTGTCATCGTTTTCCTGGGAGGCATCTTCAGACTGATGGATTAAAAAAACAAAAACAAAAAAAAGGAAGGCAGAGGCTTTAGCTTATTTAGCAGTAGTGAAACAAAAAGATACAAGACATGTTAAAACCATCAGACTCTAATGTTTCTTTTCTCATCTCTCCATTTAGCATTTAATATTCAGCATTAAAGGCTTTTTTATGCACATTTTGAAGTATCGCGTTAAAACAACTGTCAAAGACACACCCAGAAGCACGAATAGCAACGTTTTAACCAGGAAAGGTCCCATTTCACCCTAAATTAACACTCCACCATGGCTTGTCATTAATTAGCCAGCTGGTGGTTTCTGTCCTAACTTTGTCCAGCCTTACCGTCGATGAAAGTCCTCGAGTTGCAGCGCTTATCTTCTAAAAAATGAAAATCTTAGAAGGGAACGACACAAACTACTGTATTCAAGAATGTATCAGCTTTGCAAGCCTGTAATTGAAGACTGACAACTTTTTTCAAAAACAAACAAAAATCCGCCAAACTTCCGAACATGCGCATTAACTAACTGACGTGAACTTCGCCATTATCTTTTTTTTTTTTTTTTTTTTTTTTTTAATCTTTTTTTTTTTTTTTTTAATTCTTTATTACTATTATCAACATATACATTAAACATGTAATCGGCTTCAAATGTACATAAAATCTGAAAAACATGATGAAGCCGATCTCAGCTGCATCCATACAGACAAAAAGGAGGAACAAAAATAACAAGACAAAACAAAAAAACATACATTAGGGGTTTTCCAGCAATTTCATGATGATTATCATATCATATAGTTCTGTATCTTGACCTTTGTTCATGAAATTCAGCGATAAGAAGAGGTGGCAGAGATCCTTATGAAAAAAGGGGAAAGACGGTTTGGTTTTAAGGAAACGACATTTGTGTATGAAAAACTTGCCCATAATAATTATGACATTTAACAGAGTTTCAAATTTCTTTTCTTTTCTCATAGTCCCAAAGATAATATCATTCTTGGAAAAGTCCGGTAAGTTCGGGATTTTAGGAAAAAGCCAGTAGTGAATATCATCCCACAAAGCTTCAAAGCTTTGCAATTCATAGAAAAATATCAATATCACCATTAAAATAAACAAGTGTTATCATCAATAGCAAATTGAAGTCTAAGGAATTCCTTAGAAGGGTAAACGCCCTGAAAAGATTTGAAGTGGACTTCCTTGGCTTTTGGAGGAATGGGAAGCTTTAAATAATTTGTTCAAATTTTTTCTTTCTGATCTTTTGAAAAGAAATGCGATATAAAATTTGGATTGGATATAAACGGAAATAGAGAACTAATAAAGCATTCCCGAAGTTTTTTGTTTTTCAAATTCTTATCTGTGATATTGAGCCCATTAATCAATAGACCAGGAAGCTCAGCGGTTCTGCAATCAGGGATCTCATACAAACATTTAGCTGTAGATATATTTGGGGGAATAGCTTTAATAATCTTTTGAAATACACTTTTATTTATTTGTAGGTTATATTAACCACTGAATTCTTCAAGAGACATAACCTTCCCATTATTTAATAAATGCATGACAGACCAAACACCTTGTTCTAGTCAATTATTTATAAGATTGATTTATTATTAATTTTTACGTAACGGCAATTCCACAAAGGAGTATTGTGTGGGCTATAGTTATGTTTATAGATTAACTTCCAATATAATAAAACTTGCTGGTGAAAGAAGGAAAGTTTAACAGGTAGTTTTTTAACGTCAAAGTCACATCTAAGAAAACTAACTCCACCCATTTGAAAATATTTTACTCGGAATATGGAACCATAAAGCCCTTTGGTTTGTTAGGAAAGACCGAAGCCAATTCATTTTTAAAGTACCGTTCATGCTGTCAAATTCAATAGCTTGCAGTCCTCCATCTTCAAACCTTTTGATTAAATTACCTTTCCTGATATAGTGAGTTTTTCTGTTTCCATATAAAATCAAAATTCATCCTATTGATGGATTTGATAGCTGAAGTGGGTATTCCTAATGTATATGCAGGATATATCAGTCTGGAGATACTTTCTATTTTGGTGAGAGCTATTCTTCCCAGAATAGATAAATCTCTGTGTGTCCACTTATTTAAATGAGTTTTACAATTTTGAATTTTTTCCCAGATTTTAGGTTTTCTAAATCAGATTTATTTTTATTTATATGCACCCAAATATTTGACACTGGATTTTACAGGAATATTAAAAGCAGTCGATAGAGAGCAGTCTTTTAGAGGCAAAATTTCACATTTGTTTAAATTTAATTTAAGACCTGAAGCTTTTGAGAAGGAATCAATCAATTTAAGAATTTTTGGAATTTCATTCAGATTATTAAAGAAAATGGTTGTGTCATCAGCGAGTTGACTAATAGAAAACTCCTTACCCATTACAGCTAATTTACCAAATTGAGCATTTTTAATTGATATGGAGCATTTCTGCAGCAGCAATAAACAGCAATGGAGAGATTGGACAACCTTGCTTTATACCTTTGTTGATGCTAAATCTGTGTGAGGTACCATGTGGAAGACACACTGAACTATTGGTATCTTTGTAAAATGTCCTAATTACGTTAATAAATTTATCACCAAATCCAAACAAAGCTAAAGCTTTGAACATAATTCATGTTCTATCATATCAAAGGCTTTATAAAGTCTAAAAATAATACAAAGCCTTCATTTTCTACTAAGTGATTATAGTCAATTAGTCCAAAATAAGACGAATGTTATTATGTATAGAGCGCCCTTTTATAAAACCAGATTGAGTGTCAGAAATAATCTGGGATATGCCTGATTTTAATCTGTTGGCAAAAATGTGTGTCAGAAGCTTGTAATCATTATTTAATAATGTTATCGGCCTTAAATGATCAAGGATAGTTGGATCTTTCCCGGGTTTAGGAATGAGTGTGATGACACCTTGTTTCATAGTGTGAGTTAAACAATTATTTTCTAATAGTTCTGTAATCATTCCAAACACAAGTGTTCTGATTTGGACCCAAAAGTGTTTATAAAAGTTACTTGTCAAGCCGTCGCAGCCTGGAGCTTTGTCCTTGGATAAAGCGCCCAAGGCTTTATCCAATTCCTCTATAGTGATATCTGCCTCACATATTTGCTTATAATTGTCATCAATTTTAGGAATCAAATGTCAAACAGAGTTAAAGAATATTTCTGTCATTGAGTTATTATATTCAGAAGAATATAAATTGCTATAGAAGCTAAAAATTTCCTTGGATATTAATTTTGAGTCAGTGCATGGTTTATTATTAATTTGCAAGCAATTCACTGCATTTCTCTCCTGTCTTATTTTTTCTAATCTACAGAAATATGTAGTACTTTTTTCACCATCCTCAATCCACTTCGCTCGGGACCTTAAGTAAGCTCCTTTGGCTTTTTTAGTATAAAAATCATCTAATTCAGTCTGCAGAATTTTTTTGCGCTGTTTGTCCTCATTATTAAAAAACGGTTTAGAACAGATGTGACTAAGTTCTTGAATGATTTTTAATTCCTTTTCCTTATTTTGGATAGCTATCAATTTGCTGTGTTTTAATTGAGATTTCACGGACTTTAAATTTAAAGAATTCCCATTTCTTTGTATAAGACTCAGATTTGTATCATTGCAAATTAAATTGAGAAGCTCCAGGATTTCATTATTAAATTTTTCATTGTTAAGGAGGGTTGAGTTGAACTTCCAGTAACCTTTGTTGTGGGATGTTTTCAGTTGAGTTGTGATACTGAGTTGTATTACACAGTGATCAGACAAAGGTGCAGGTGAAATTCTAGCATTTACATTATTTTGCATCAGACTGTTTGAAATTAGCCAGAAATCAATACGTGATTTAGCTGAGCCATCAGGTCTGAACCAGGAGAAAGACTGACTGCTCTGATTTGCTTCTCTCCAAGGATCCACCAAATTCAGAGATAAACAAAAATTTTGTAAAACCACATTTATATGATGAGATTGGAATTTAGAGGGAGATCTATCAAGCCATTCATTGTACACCATATTAAAATCTCCACCCAATATGAGATTGTTCGTGGGATATTTCTGAGATAGTTCTTTTAGTTGACTAGTTAGTTCAGACAATAAGGATTTGTTCTGAGCAACACTGTTGTAACCATAGACGTTACAGAGAATCAGAAAACTAGTTTCCATTTTGAGTACACACATAATCCAGTGGCCCTGTTTGTCTTTCCTATGAGTTTCTAGTTTTTTCTGAAAATTTTGAAATAGTAAAGCAACACCAGCAGATTTATTAGTACCATGAGATAAAATTATTTTTCCCCCCATTGATTTGACCAGAAGTTCTCATCTGCCTTAATAGAGTGAGTTTCTTGTAAAAATATGCAGTTAGCATTTGTATTTTGTATTTGTATTATCTTTTTCTTGTTGCTGCCATTATTGTTGCACTACTATCATCGCTTAGATTTTAATATTTATTTTCCCTCTACCTCTCCAATGAGACCATTTTTAATTCAATATTTTTCTTTTTCCTTCTTTACTATTTAACTGAGCAATCACATTATTACCACATTATTTCCTATTCAAACTTTTTACCCCCTGACTTTAGTTTAAATTCTTATTTTGAAACTATTTATTTTTAGTAATATTTCTGATAAATTACTGAATATTTTTAGGAGTGAAATGAGTAGTGCACCATTTTAGGGTTCACGTAATGGCTCTGAATGCAGCTGAAGCTGTCTGTTCTCAGGCTATAGTCTGTTGACGCTCGGTGCTTGATTAGTCAGGGCTGGGCTTGCTGCTTGTTGTTTTAAGGGAGTCGGCTTCTTCTTCCAAATGTTTGACAGCTGCAGCCACTTCAGGAATTGGAGTACTCCTCTGCTCTCAGTTATGTCAGCTTCATAAAGTTAATAGGTAACCTGCTTGTTTTACATTTTGCTTTTACTCTTCACTGACCAACGCAGATGCAGCTTCCCGACTAGTTAGCACTCGAAGCTAACCACATACAGCCTGATAGGCATCAGCGGCTGCTAACATTAGCCAACCCTCAGCTTAGATTAATAAGCTTTCTTGGCTGCTTCTGCGAATTATAAGCCTCTAAGTCATAACATTATCTTTAAGTTGTCAATAAAAGCAACCCATTATGAAAGTCTGACACTTTCGTTTACTCGTACAAATCTAATTGAATCTGCCCCGTTTCGCTTTAGTGTCTCTGTTAAAAACCAGCGTGTGAGGGGTTTTCTGTCAGCTCCCTGGTGACTCAGAGACCGTTCGAGCCGGGTCAGGGCGGTGCTTTCTCTTTTCCGGGTCTGGGACTTTGCTATAAAGCTTCGGTCTGTTTAGATCACATGATAAGGTGAGCGGAGTGTGATGCCTTTTACATCGGCTTTCTCTGCACTGTAATCCAAGATGGCATGCATTTCCAACTCCAGCTCTATTGCCTTTTTCAGAAGGTAAGCGCTGCAGAATCTCCAGGACACGCGTTTCCTTTTTGTTTCAGTCGAGCACACAGGGAGCAGGGGCATGAGAGTCTCAATTAACTGTCAGCCGACCGCTATTGAAGAGGGCCACCATGGACCTGGGGCATCTCTGTTGGTAAGTACTTGAGGCTCATAATCCGACTGATGAAGAAGGTCTAAGAGAGTGGGAATATCATTACCAAGTATAACTGAATATGGCAAAGAGGGAACTACAGCTACTTGTACCAGGTATGTTTGACCTCCCACTGTCAAATACACCTCTGCACTAGGTAGACATGCTCATCTCCATGTATACAGCTTATTTTAACCCCCACCTCACTTAACTTTTCATCTGGGATTAAGCTTGCATGTACTAAAGACTGAAAACACCCAGAATCAAGCAATGCTTCTTCTTTCTTCCCATTAACTAGCACCGAAGCCGTACAAGCTTTTCTTTTTTCAACATCAGTAGCCGCTCTTGGAATTGAACACATCAGTGATGGCTTTGATTTCAGGGCGGGACAAAAATGTTGCGTATGGCCAAAACCATTACAGTTGTAACATCTAATATCCTGACCTGACGACTTATGAAATGACTTTTTAACCTTAGCAGGTCGATGGGAAGGAACTGCTTAAAACTAGAACCATTTCTAGCCTGACTTAGACCAGAGCCCTGTTCACCCCCAGTGGACTTACTTGGTTGGGCATAATGAGTCTCTTGGCCAGCATAGGTGCTCCAGCTCCCCCTCCTGGCTGATCTGAAGACCTCTGCGAGAGTAGCTGCTTCTTCTGCCGTCTTCGGGTCACGCTCACGTATCCAGACCTCCAATTCTGGATTAACCATCCTTAAAAACTGCTCCAGAATTATCTGCTCAGATATTTCTTGCACAGTAGATTTATCAGGTTTGATCCATCTTGAAAACAAGTCTTTCAGTCGAACATAAAGTTCATGCGGCATCTCACCTGATTCAATCTTTAGGCATCTGAAGCGTCGTCGATAAAGCGTCGTCGATAAGTACCGACAGTAATTTCATATTTTGCCAGAATTGCCTCTTTCAGTTTATCATAGTTCTGAGAGTCAGCAATATCCATTAGAACATAGGCTGTGCGGGCCTTTCCGGTCAACAGAGGGACCAGACGAATCGCCCACTCATCTCTGGACCAACGACACACCTGGGCCATCCTCTCGAACGTCGTCAGAAAATGCTCAATGTCGTCATCCGTCGATAAGGGAAGAAATTTTGGTTCAATTATGGACCTGGAACCATGAGCCACCTGAACATCACCACCATCTGATTCTTCTGCAGGTGCTTCAGATGTTGAAGGTTGATCCTGTGTGTCTGACTCATCCTGTTTTTCCAGTACCGCATTCACTTGCAGCTGCATTTGTTGAAACTGATGCTGCATACTTTTCCACCTCTGCTCCTGGCGGGAAAAATCTTTATCCATCTTCATGTCTCTAGCCACCTGAGACCGCATGATGGATTTCACCAACACCGCCAGTTCCTCCAACTTATCTTCAGGGTTGGTCGCTGCCATGGTTTCCATTTCAGAGGAAGCTCCAGCTGCTTCATCAGGCTCTCCCTCTTGGCCTGGCTTTTTACCACCTCTGGTCATCATCTTTGCACTGTGGCATGAATAGACGCACTTCTGACACCACTTGTAACAGGTTGGCCTTTTACGGCTGGATTTTTCAGTACAGATTGATGATATCAGGCAGAGTTTAGGTGGAACAGCAGGTTTATTCCTCCCAGCATCACAAACAATGTCACACTCTTGGTCTTACAAACATCTCAATGTCTCAATATCTGTCTCACAGGTGAAAATTGCAATCTTAAATAGTCCCAGCTGTGACAGTTAAAACAATCTGAAAATTCATAAGATAATCCCAATTAATGAGCCTCTGGGACATAATTGCCCAGCAGACAAGATAAAGGCTAATATAAAAACTACATATTTACCAAGAAAAGAGAGGATTTACACCACATGTGCACTTCTACCACTGAACAACTTTTGTATACACTGTAGTCTATCTTTGTCAGCGCAACTAAAGATGCTAAGTTCTCATGGTCAGTGTGCTATATATATTTGCATTTACAAGACCAGCATATATGCTTAACACGAAAGAGTCAGCTGCACCATTAGGATCCATCCAAAATAGAACAAGGGATAAGCTTTCCTGTCTTATCCACGAGAAGTACATAATAGGACTCAGTCTTACACATATTGATCTGTTATCCAGCTCATTAGCATGCAGTAATTGGGACCGGGCATAAAAAAAGTTATGATGCATAGATTTGAAATAAACATCCAGCCAGGGCAATAACAAAATGGTTTAGATAAAGGCATTTCCAGGAGATAAATCCCAGTCCAGACCTGATTCCAGGAGAAAGATGTCAAAGTTGCAGTCAGGATGACCTTAAGTTAATTTGGAAAGAAGAAGGAGCAATAAAACTCTAGATGTGCAAAGCAAGTGGAGTGCCAAAATGCATGTGGGTATAAAGGGTATATAAATTGTCTGTTACAGTATAAATATCTGCAGAGTGGAAAACTAAGTGTAGTTCATTTTTTGTGTGAACAATCTTGACCAATAAAGCTGATTCTGATGAACAGCAACTGACAGAAAAAAAGCAATCACATATTGATCACAATCGCAGAAGAAGTGATCACAACATCATCGCCACCTATAAATTAGTGTCTGCATTAAGCCAACATAGGGATTCTTCACCCATATCTCCTGAAAACAACTAAAGTCAGTCTATTTCTTATCCCAAGGTGACCATTTTCTGACAAACGCCTCAGGTTACAAGGTGCATCTGCAAGGATCAGGTGACAGATTGCACCAATTGGTGCGCATGCATCCAGTTAAAGCAGCCAGTGTGCATTTCAGTTACCTGGCAACCTCTTTGAGAAAGTTGTAACTAGAGTCAGGCATGGGAAATTTACAGTAGCAGCTGGCAAAATAACCACACATATGAAACGTCATCACTGGCAGCAGTTTCTCATCATATCCAAATCTCCCTGAAATGATGGGTTGATTTTTGCCCATACACTATCTCATTTTCTATAGTTGCCTTGTATGACAGTAGAGACAGAGAGAGATGTTTTCTTCTTACCACCAACACTGAAGTTCTGACAGCCTCACTGACGCTCTGCCTGAGCTCCGCCGCGGTCCCAGGCTTATTGAGCCCCCTGGTAAACTTCCTCGGCTCAGGTGGACCAGAATCCATCGCGCAGTTCACCTTTCATCTGGCAGGAGCAGAGCAATACCGAGGTGAGAGTGGGAACGCCTATCTGATAGGTTTTACAATGCCGTTGTACCTGAAGTAAACTCATCGCCAACGCTGCGGCTCCCGGACAACTCCGCTAAGTGTCACGCCCATTTCTGTGTATTGGTATCCAATTGGACAGCAGCGAAAACCAAAGGCGCCCATCATGTCTCCAGCCAACACCCTATGACTTCTTTTCGGAGTTTTTTTTTTTTTTTTAATTCAGCTTCCTTAACATCCGTCTTTAATTTGCGTTTCAGTTGCTTATGTTTTAATTTCTGATGCGACACAAGAAGCTGTCATGGGTGTAAAAAGGTTGGAATGCGCTCAGTTACGCGTTGATCTCAAGATACCGCAATCCGATGTCGCCACCTGCTGGAACAGGAATGTAACTACCATAGATATAGAGGGGACAAATAGGTCTGTCATATTCTGAGTGGAAACCACTATTGAGTATTTTTTGGAAAAATTAAAATATAAATGAGATAATTAAATAATAAGAACTCAGCCGGGTATTTCACTTGTTAATTATTATTATTGTTTTAATAATATGATATTATTTTAAAAAATTACCTGATAATTCCAGCTTTTTTGGACTTTATTATCAAGAAATTGCAAAGACAGAGGAAAAATTGATTGATGAATTACAACAGCAGCAATTTCCTTACGAATGATGCAAAGTGACGATGGTGCACAAACAAAATAAGTTAATACAACACAAGACAGTCACGTTTCTTGTATTTACAGTTACACGATTGGATAAAGAACCGTTTACTTAATTGCCAACAATAATAAAACTACTAATTTTTCTTGTGTTGATTTAACGTGATTAAATTGGACTACTAAAACCACCGCGATCACATTTTATCACCACCGGAAATTATGCGATTTATCGAAAGGCAACACTTAAATATGATTGGACAAGGTCTTTTGAATCTCAACCAATAAGAAGCTAATGGAATGGTTCTACCGCGGCAGGGCCATCCAGGTGAAGGGAAGCCATCCTGGTCTTCAGCGAGGCCCGCAGCTCCAGCTGTGAAGAGCTGGAGGTCTGGGAAAGACCTCCAGCTCTTCCTCGAAGAAGCAGAGGAGGGGGGAGATGAGCAGGAGGAGAATGGAGAAGCTGCCTTACTCCCTGGAAGCCACGTAGATCTGGACCTCATCTGCGGTTTCCAGGCTGAACCTCTAGCCCAGGGGCTGTGAGGTCACCGCCCCGCCAGGAGCATCCGCTTCTCATCTGCACCTCAGCATAATGCTGCCGCAGAATGGTGATGGTGTTGTAGGCCCAGTATTAGGGGCTCGGATGGGCAGGCTTGATAGCAGAAGCCAGATTAGATGTGATCCGCTGAATAGCCAGTGGATCACGGTCATCCCGCGACACATTTTTAAGATTGTGTGTCGCCTCCAGCAGTCTGTGCAGGCCTCTGACCTCCGCAAAGTGTGGGTCATCTGACTGCTGGTGATTGTTGAGGCTGGACGGTTGGAGGAGACCAGTCTGACTCCGACATGAAAGGTAAGTCATTATTATTGTCATTATCAACAACATCTTTATAATAGATGGCCAATTTGATTCTGATGTGGCATTTTTGAAAGTTAACCCCTTGTTTAAAAGGGAACACTGTGCATCACTGAGAGTGAAAGTTTTAGAAAGATTACACACATTTTTATTTACAATATCAGAGTGCCCCACCTTCCTACACTGGCTAGCGGGGCCACCTATTTTAGCCACTATGTCCAGTAGCTGAGCAAACCAACAGCGGTGGCCTTGGACCAGTAGATGTTGTCCCAGCAACCCGGAAAGCCCGTCTCTGCAACGTCGGGATGAAGCGGCTGAGCTGCGCAATGTGGATGTTCATGTGAGTTAGGGTCACCTGTTCACAGAGGGGGAGTGCCAGCGAGAAATTTGAATGCAACTTTTGGAGCAACTTTGCATTAAAAGGGTCATTATTTACTGAATGTCATTTCATAACAACATTCGCAGAAATTCACAAAGACTGCCTTTATGTTCATGACAGACGTTCCGTCAAGTTTATGATGGTGTCATGTCAGTCTTGTTCACATCTGTCTCATGTTTTACTGTTTGCTATGTAATAACATAGTAACAGTCTAAACAAATATATATATTTTAAATTCTAAAGGGAAAATACTGCAGCTTACAGGTTGACCTTTAACATATTTCAAAAGATAAAAATGATTTAGAAAAGTGTAACATTTTTATTAACATTTTTTAACATGCACATGCTGCCGAATACAACTTTTATAACAAATTTCTTTTACATATTATGTCATGTCAGTTTTATGCGCACCCCATCAAGTAAAGTGTCACTGAAATCTGACACATTTCTACATAATCTTGTATATCTTGTATATCTTTAATAGAAACATGTTCAAGATTCACCTTTAAAGCTGCAGAACCTTATAAAAATTAGATTCCTTAAAAATATTTGTTTAAGCTTTCCTTTGTCATTACAGAAAAGCAAGAGACTTATAATCTGTGGGAAAATATTCCAGCTGTCTTCCACTGACATGATATTATGATAGTGTTGACAAATATGTAAAAAAATATATATATTTATATATATTGCTATAAAACTTATATTCTGCAGTTTTAATGTCATGACAGATGTACACAATAAAATCAAGTAAATTGAACAACTTTTTTCTTTCAGTGTGTTACTGCACAGACACAAAGTCAATCACGACTGATATCTCTAGACATTTTGTTGATGTTCTCAGGTTTGTAGAGAAAAATACAACAAAATTAATTTTGTATCGAATGTCTAATTTTATTAAGCTTCTTGCTGTTAATCATAAGTTATCAATGAAAAACACCGTTTGATCACTTCTGGACAGTATGTGGTTTAACCACAAAGAGGCAGTGAAGTATCACTGTTTTAACATCTGTTTTATGCCTTCGCTGTCATGATGCATTATTCATGTGCAGCAGTTTTTCTTTATGGTATATATTAAAAGAGCCAGACTTTCTTCAAAGTGCTCCCTTTTTTACATTTAAATGATTAACGTTGATTTTTCCACTCTGTCTTTGTGGTTGGCCATTTGTTATTAATTTGTCTATTTCTTGAGCTATTTAACATTAACTTATAAGATTTGTTTCAGCACTAGAAATGCTCTATAGTCAAGAAATACTCATTTAACTTGTATTTTTAACCTACATTACAACTAACAAGAACAAAATTTACTAAAACTTTTCCTTTGGAATTGAAAATAAATTAAAAATGACATTTCTGAAGGGGAAACCATGGTTTCCCCTTCATGCTGCAGCATGGCGCATAAGCTGATGTTGTGCGCCTCATTCACACAACATCAGAATGAGGCACGGTGGTGCCAGCATTATGCTGTGGGTCTGCTTTTGTCCGGCAGGGTCAGGTGTGCAAAACAAACTAAATCCATCTGTGACTCGCTTTCAATTTCTAAATTATGCAACACTTTATGTTGCTTTATAGCCGAAATAATCCTAGTGAATAGCATTCTAAAATGGCTATTACAACGTTACAACATGTGAAAAAGTTGAAGAAACATGAATACATCCATTCTGATTTTATAGTCAGGAGTTTCTGTGGGCTTGAATCCGTTTAAGGACTAAAACGCGGTTGAAAAAGTCAACAAATCGCGGCAGAGAGTGACACAAAGAGCACGGATGTAGTGCATTTGTCCCTGGTGTTGTAGCCACTGTCTGCGGCAGAGCGGCGCTGCACCACCCCTCTCTCTCTCTCTCTCCTGGCTGGCTGTGTGGGACCGTCCGCGGCAGTAACTTAAAACCAGGAGACGAGTGGTCCAGACGAGCCCGCAAACGAGGCGTTCCCAACCCGCCCTGGTCAGACCCAGAGATATCCATCGCCTCCGTCCGCCATCGCTCTGCGCCGGGGGGCAACGATCCGTCCACCGCTCGCCATCGGCGCCCGTGACTCGCGTGTTGTTTTTATGTTTTCCCGACTGGAAAACGACACTGGACGCACAGAACTAACTGGCTAGCTCCGCAGCTAGCATCAGTTAGCTCGGATAGCGATCGGCTTTAAACGTACTCGAGTTAAATATCGGATCTTTTTGGCGATCGCACTGATTTTCGAGTAAAAAGAATGCGGATATATTTTAAAGCTGCTTTTGATTAGATTATGTATTTTACAGTGTTGGTTATTTTCGCGACATTTCGCAGCTTTGCTTAAGTTTTTGTAGCAGCAGCCAGACTGTCGCCTCGGGCAGCTAGCATGTTAGCTGCTGGACACAGACGCCGCTTTCCGGACACTCACAGATGGAAGATCCGCCGCACAAGATAGCTGCTCGGCTCATCTGTCCGCTTAGCATCGGGCTCCAAAGCGGGACTACTTCACTTCATCTTGGTGATCAGTGTTAATCCACGGACACCAGCGACAAGCTCAACAACAACAGCACCAAATCTTTTTTTTCCCCTTTCTTTCTTTGTCTTTTTTTGCATTATTTCTCAATGTGTTGTGCTGCACTGTCTGGGAGATCAGTTCAAGTTATTGGGCTGACTTTTGAGGAAATACGTGGAGAAACTGAGTAGAGGCTGTTGTAGCAGAAGGACCAAAAAGAAGTACAGCACTGCCTCGGGAGAGACCAAGGAACGACACCAAAGTCCGCTGTGAGCCAAGCCGCAATGAAATCTATGGCAAGATCTGCGTTTTGCTTTGCGATCTTCCTGACTTCTGTGGCTGGTGAGTGGCGTGTATTGATTTTTTTGTTGATGAAAATGTTCTCAGGGTGATTTTTTTATGCTCCCCTTTACCCATAGTCTGTCCCACAAAGTCTTCGTTATTTGTAAATGATCCGTATGTTGTTTACCAGGCTGTGTCTGATCCTCTTTGCGTGATTATTTTGTCAGGGGCGGTCCAGACATTTTTGGGGGCCCTGAGCAGCATTTAATGTGGGTGCCCATTTCTAGTTCGAGATATCATCGCTCAAGATCTGGAAAATACAATCAGTGTCATTATGATAATATTTTACTGTCTGAAGTTCTGCACAGTTACTAAGTAAGAGGTAAACCAGCAAAAAAAAAAAAGGGTAAAACCCTGGCTTTCATCAGAGACATTCAAAAGTCAAATCAGTTTTCCAAAGAGTGAACGCATCATACTGAAGCACTGCTAGCTCGCACTAATTACAACAGTCTTCGGTGTGGCTGCTGTTACTGAGGGATGATGCAAAGTTTATTGTTTTTCGTATCGGCAAAGTGTTTCAATGGTTTTAGAGAAGGCACAGAGATGTAAGGAGCTATTTAAAATGAAACAGTGTTATCTATGAGACATCAGTGGTTTATTTCACTCAGTGGTTCCCAAAGTGGGGGGGCACAGTGCCATTGCAAAGGGGGCCCGGGACGCGGTATGGATGAATGAAAAAATAAAAAAAATAAAAAAACAGTTCCACAAAAGTGTTTCACTGTAAAGATGGTTTGTAGTTTGTTTTGTTGCAACCTGAAGTGTGAAATAAACTTCAGTTGAGTTTGAAAATAAAATATGTGTATAGGTTTCTGTCTGGTTGAACGATGTGCACATCTGTCGCATTTTGAGCACTCATGTTCGCCTCCTGCTGGCCAGGAGGTTGCATGCACCTGCTTAGTTTGCTTATGCCTCAGTCCAGCTGTGACATTGTCAGAATTTTCTAATCGTCCTGCCTAAATTCACACACACTGCCTCTGTTGTCTGTGTTGCTCATGCAGTTGTGCTCACAAAAAACAAACAAAAAAAAAACTTTTAGAACCCTTTTCAGTCTCTGTGTGCAAAAGGCCTGGAAGAAAGACCGCCAAGCACGCACAGACCCTGCCTGCCAACTCATGCCATGTGTTTGAGACCTCGGAGTTGAAGCCAGGCTTCTGTGAAACCTTGAGCACGATAAGATAGTAGCAGACAGAGGAACAGTAGAATGTGTGGGAAGAAAAGACGGGTAGCTGAGGTGAAAGAAGTTCAGCATGGTGGCGGGAGCCGCTGCCAAAAAAGATCTCTTTGGAGCATGTGTTGCTTCATCCCTCAATTCATAGGCATAGAGTTATCATAAACTATATCTGTTATTTTTATTATTTGAAGCTATTAGTATTTGGAGGTTGTTTTAAAAAATTTTCCTGCGACCAAAAATTAATTGCATTTCCTCAATATTTTAATTGACATTTCTACCTCCTTCACAAATGTGAGCCGCTATCACATAAAATCCCAATGAAATAGATTCAATCCTGTAATTTTACTGTGACAAAATGTAGAAAAGTTGTAGCCCCGCAAGTAATCAGTGTTTGCAAACCTCAGTGTGTTCAGGCTCGTTATGCTCAGAGTCCAATATGTGGTTGTTTGGCCAAAGGGCATTAAAAAAAGTGTTTTATATTCAGACCTTCAAAATGCACCCATTGACATCAGTAAAGCTGCTGTGCAGGAGAAGTGGCTCACAGGCTGGGTGCAGTTCTTGCTCTTATCTCGTTCAAGAACTCTTCAGTGTGATTCTGAACAGATCGCAAGTAACGGCTTGGAGTGCCTTGTCTGATAAATTGGACATAAAAATAAACAGCACCAGAGTGTGAATAATTAGCTTGCTAAACTGGTGTTAAATTTCAGAAGTTATCAGAAATCTTTCATAAACATCTGTTTCTTTCAATGCGTTTAACCTGTGCGCAGCCAACATTGGTTTGGTTGGGCTAATGCTACATGTCCCATGGGACTAATTAGTGTGTTGGTGTTCCCGAATTGGGAAGCGGTTCCAAACAAATCTCAGACCTTCCGGCTCTACTTTTAGATTCTTCTCAGTTTCAGAACAACTTGTAGCAAATTCCTACTAATGCTGCACATTTCCATCGACACATCGAGCAAGACTACATGACTGGCCATGCAGACTTTTATGTCAGCCAAACAAATCC